CCGTAACCCTAACCCTTACCCTTGCCAATCTGCTCATGAGCATCCATTAAAAAGAATTTGGAAAGCAATGGGCTTCGTGGCGTGGGGGAAGCCCATAAATATATTTTCCGCACCTGGCACATGGTCGTTTTGAGAAGGAACGCCAGTGCACATAATGTGCTCTTCATTGCGTCCTTTTCGTAAAGGACTTCTCACGATAATAAATATCAAGGACCATGAGTCGGAGGCCCATAAACATGCGTACTAAACAATCTTCGATCCTCGGAGGAGAGGTCGTGCATTTTGTCGTTCCGTGAAGCTACGCCATTGCGTATAGTGTACGCTTCGCCGCGAGCTGTCCGTCAGGTGATAGCCCGAGCACAGGAAGATCAAGTGCAGTCTATTATGTACTCTGCCTTAATGCACCACAGTACCATTCACGTACGAAGGTAGCTTTTACTCCACTTGGCAGGTGAAAAACGGCAATCGCCTTCCTATTCGTTAACGGTCCCGGCATGCTAACTTTTCAAACGTCATCAGCAAGTCGAACAACCACGCGACCGTTAGTGCGTTGGGCGTCTTACTGAAGCGGCCGGGGTTTGATGCGAATAAACAAACAAATGCCACTGTGGATAACCCAATATCCAATTGCTTCTTCAGTACGACCACTAGTTCTCCCTGAGAATGTGGACCAACGATTCACCCAAGAATCTCGCACTAAGATAACCAATACGACCGACAACCAAAAGACACTGGTCGACGCCAGTCCTATTGTCGTACAATAATATAACATACAAATGATTAGGTGGACGCAAACCATGACATGATACAGTAGCGAACAGCACATCGTGATACAGACTGTTGGATCCATCCAGGATATAAGTGCAACACTGTAAGATGGCTCGCTTAACCTCCTCGGCTCGCTTAACCTCCTATCGCCGATCTCATGCTCCCTTAGCATCATCATGTCATCCTTATATTCGCGTCAGGGTTGAGTGCCTGCCTGTCTGCGCTATATGTATACAATTGAAAGGGAAGGAGCAGACATAAATAGTATGAAAGTTAGTATACGATGAACTCGTGTGAGATATTAAGTATTCCGGACAAAGGGCGCAAGTATATCTTCGGCTTGTGGCATCATATCCCGATAAAATTGCCCTAACTGAGCAAAGATAACGCACTCATTATGCTGCTTTTGTCTACTAAGAAAGATCCAGTACACTAAAATAGCTCTCCAATATCATAATAGACCATAGCGCGATAATACTATCAGTCCCTTTAGAGAGATCTAGTGTCTGTTAGGGTTAGCTTTTAATTCTTCAATTCTTTCAATTTTTCGAATCTTCTCTTACATCACTTTATCCCTATAGGGCAGGCAAGAAGCCCTTCGCTTTTTCTTGTCGTTCAGATTCCCCGTATAGTGTGATAATAGTATAAGTCTCTCTCTCTAAAGGATAGAGGGGCTCATTGAGATAGCCCGTATAGTGCGATAATACTATCAGTCTCTCTCGAAAGCATAGAGGGCTCCACTGCTTTCATCTTGTCATTGAGGCAGTGTCGCCAAATAATTTTTCCGTAGTATCAAGTTTCCGTGAAAAGTGCTCGAAGGGTCCTTTTCCTGCATCCTCGTTGAAGAAAATAGAATCCTTCGTGATGGTGCCTTCCTTTGAATTCAATGATATCCTTTCAATACTACAATTCTTCAAGTCTTTCTTTGAGGGATGTGAAAGGAGCTAGATCTCTTGTTCTCACCCAGCCACTTGCACATGCCTACCCAAAAGTCCAGATTGCGCCACCTTGCACGACGGCGGCAAGTTCCTGTCGATGATGGAATAGGGTAGTCGACCAGGAAGCGTCAGATCGAGTAGGATCTCGCGATTCTGGACGAGGCATGCCAATACGATGGGACCACTGTGAAAGACAGGGATATGTTCAACCTTGTGGAGTCTTCTGCATTTACACACTTACCGTGCCATTCGATGACGACGCGATGGAGAACCAGTTACCTGTGCCAGGAGCGATTTGCTCCGTCCAGGTGACACCCGTGTCGGTGGACTTCCAGATAGACCCTTGATTCACCACGGCGGCAAGGATCTTTGCATTATGCGAGGGGTAATGGAGCAGGATGCGTCAGATCAAGCATCGCATCGCGACCCTCAACGAGACATCCGCGCAGGATGGGATTGCCTTCGTCGACAGGGTCATCATGCATCTTGTGAAATGCCCTGCATGGAAAGACGTACCATGCCGTCCGACGAGGACGCGATCGAGTACCAGTCACGTGAGCCAGAGGTGGTTCGCTCCGTCCAGCTGGCGCCTGCGTCGGCTGAAGTCCAGATGGACTCTGCAAGCACCGCGGCGGCAAGGTTCTGTGCATAATAGGATGGGTAGTCGACCACCATGCGTCAGATCGAACATCACATGGAGACCCTGGACGAGATATGCACACAAGACAGAATCATTATGGTCGACAGGTTTAGCACCTTGTGAAATAGCCTGCATCCAAACACGTACCATGCCATCCGACGAGGACGCGATCGAGTACCAGTCACGTGGAGCCTCGTCTAATCGCTCCGTCCAGTTGGAGCCTGTGTCGGTTGATGTCCAGATCGAGCCACTTAAAACCACGGCGGCAAGTCTCTGTGCATGATGGGATGGGTAGTTGACCAGGATGCGTCAGATCGAGCATCGCATGGCGATTTGGACGAGACATGCTCACACAACGGAATCATTATGGTCGACAGGTTTATCATGCATCTTGTGAAATTGCCTGCATCGAAACACCTACCGTGCCATCGGACGAGGACGCGACTGAGTTCCAGTTTCGGCTTGATTCTATTCCCGCCCACGAGACGCCCGCGTCGCTCGACCTCGAGAGCTGTCCACCAAAGATCGCGGCGACGAGTTTCTGTGCATGATAGGATGGATAGTTGACCAGAAAGCGTCAGGTCGAGCATCGCATCGCGACCCTCGACGAGACATCTACACACGATGGGAGCACCATTGTCGACAGGGTCGTCATGCAGCTTGCGAAATGGCCTGGATTGAAAGACGTACCATGCCATCCGACGACGACGCGATCGACATCCAGTTACGCGTACCAGCGGCGTCTCGCTCTGTCCAGCTGACGCCCGCGTCGGTCGACGTCCAGATCACGCCGTTATATACCACGGCGGCAAGTTTCTGTGCATGATGGATTGGGGAGCCGACCAGAAAGCGTCAGATCAAGCATCGCATCGCGACCCTCGACGAGACATGCACACACGATAAGACCACCATTGAAGACAGGGGCATGGTGCACCGTGCGTATTGGCCCGCATCGAAAGACGTACCATTCCATCCAACGAAGACGTGATCGAGTTCCAGTTACGGGTACCAGCGGTGGCTCGCTCCTCCCAGCTGACGCCCGCGTCGATCGACGTCCAGATGGCGCCTCCATAGACCGTGGCGGCAAGTTTCTGTGCATGATGGATTGGGGAGCCGAGTAGAAAGCGTCAGATCGAACATCGCATCGCGACCCTGGACGATGCATGCAAACACAATAAGACCACCATTGAAGACAGGGACATGGTGCACCGTGTGTAACTTTCGGCATCGAACACGTACTGTGCCATCCGAGGAGGACGCGATCGAGTCCCAGCCACGGGTACCAGCGGCGGTTTGCTCCGTCCAGGTGGCGGTTGGTGCCGTAGGCTGCATCGTAGGCGCCATGGTCGGAGACGCCGTAGGCTGCATCGTAGGCGCCATGGTCGGAGACGCCGTAGGCTGCATCGTAGGCGCCATGGTCGGAGACGCCGTAGGCTGCATCGTAGGCGCCATGGTCGGAGCCGCCGTAGGCTGCATCGTTGGAGCCGCCGTAGGCTGCATCGTTGGAGCCGCCGTAGGCTGCATCGTCGGTTGCAGTGTCTTTGCCACTACTACCTCATACACACTGGAATCAGGATCGAAGATGAAGGGTGTGCACACCGCCACGCAGCAAAAGCACTGGTTGGTCACGGTATTCCAGCTGAAGAAGAAAGGCGTCTCTTCTCCCGCATTGAGAGAGCAATATTCATAACAAGCATCGGGGGTATCGATTGACTGGAGCTGTCGGTCTTGAGGATGGCTCAGGGCCGCGATATCCTTATGCATGTCGATTGGGGAGGGCACCGAAAGACGACGGTCTTGAAAGGGGGCCTGGCGCGCTCCTTGAGAGAATTGCTGTCCCTCACCAAAAAGTACAAATGGCTGCGCCGGATTGATGGTAGGAGCTGGAGTCGGCGCACACGTCGCGGTTTTTTTAGACTTCGAGTAGCGCACCTTTACGATTTGGGAGTGGGCGAGCGGCGTAATGCACGACGCCTCTGTACCATTTACTGCATAAGCGTAGGCATCCACCTCCAACATCTCAGGGGCACACTCATCAGCTTTTACCTTGACGCGCAAGCGGTGTTTTCCCCCTTTACGTTTTGTGAGTGCAATGTTGAGCCAGTAGATCGCAGTCGTTCCATCCGCATTTTTAACGATTTCTGGAGAGGTAAAGGGCTTCGGGGACGGACGCATCATTGTTCGCTCTACCGACAAGCCCTTGGGGAGATTCAATTGAAACTCGAGATTGTCGACGGGGTCTTTGCTAGTCAAGGTCACGGCTATCTTGGCGTGACCCTTTCCTGCAAGTATCCTACGTCTAGCGCTCGGTCTAACTTTGGCCTTGAGGACGAGGCCTGGACAATCTTGAGAGACAGCGGTGAAAATGCTTGCAAACCCCAGTAGGGCGACAAGTAGAATGCCAAAGAGATAATTCATATTTTAAAGCGTGATTAAGTGCTTCTATGGGCACGTGGAGATGTTTGTGAAGCGTGGGACGGCTTGACCTCTAGATGGGCAATATCAGTGGAGAGCGTACATATTTAATGAGTTTTACAACTCTATGCCGTATCACATTACGTCTTCGTAGCTCTTACGTAAGACTAAGACACCACAAGCATGCCTATGACGCTTAGTTGCATTTAATGGTGCTCCGTCGGGAAGACCCTAGCAGTGCATTATACCACGAAAAATAAGGGGCATTACTAACGACCTCCAGGGTACATCTCGTCAGCCAATTTGGAATGCAGGAATAAATTTAATTCGTGAAGAGCGCAGCATCATCTCAATTATACAATTATCGCCATCGCAGAAGAGCTATATAGAGCATTTCGTTTATGTGTGGCATGACATGTGTGCCTGCATAACTTGATTTGGTTGACATCCACGGGTGCAGGTCAGAATGTCCTCAGCAGTGCGTCACGCCAGAACAACGAGGGGCCATTACTTTAGTTCTCATGACCGTTCGTCAACAAACAATATAGAGAGGAAGGGTTAAACGAGTGCATGGAAAGACCTCCGACTCATTGTCTTTATGGGCGTCAAACGCGGAAGCCCAAACACATCAAAATTGAAGGAGCTCCGATCCTCAGAGAGAGAGGTAGGGTAGGTCTAATATGTGGCTCAAACATGACAAGTATGTCTCCGTTGCTCAATTCCATTGACATCCATGAGATTCAGGTCAAAATATCGTCAGTTGCACGTCATGAAAACAAGGCGCCCTTGCCAATCTGCTCATGAGCATCCATTAAAAAAGAATTTGGAAAGCAATGGGCTTCGTGGCGTGGGGGAAGCCCATAAATATATTTTCCGCACCTGGCACATGGTCGTTTTGAGAAGGAACGCCAGTGCACGTAATGTGCTCTTCATTGCGTCCTTTTCGTAAAGGACTTCTCAAGAACATGAATATCAAGGACCATGAGTCGGAGGCCCATAAACATGCGTACTAAACAATCTCCGATCCTCGGAGGAGAGGTCGTGCATTGGGTCGTTCCGTGAAGCTACGCCATTGCGTTTAGTGTACGCTTCGCCGCGAGCTGTCCGTCAGGTGACAGCCCGAGCACAGGAAGATCAAGTGCAGTCCATTATGTACTCTGCCTTAATCCACCACAGTACCATTCACGTACGAAGGTAGCTTTTACTCCACTTGGCAGGCGAAAAACGGCAATCGCCTTCCTATTCGTTAACGGTCGCGGCAGTCAAACGTCATCAGCAAGTCGAACAACCACGCGACCGTTAGTGCGTTGGGCGTCTTACTGAAGCGGCCGGGGTTGAGTGCCTGCCTGTCTGCGCTATATGTATACAATTGAAATGGAAGGAGCAGACATAAATAGTATGAAAGTTAGTATACGATGAACTCGTGTGAGATATTAAGTATTCCGGACAAAGGGCGCAAGTATATCTTCGGCTTGTGGCATCATATCCCGATAAAATTGCCCTAACTGAGCAAAGATAACGCACTCATTATGCTGCTTTTGTCTACTAAGAAAGATCCAGTACACTAAAATAGTTCTCCAATATCATAATAGACCGTGATCAGGTCTTATAGCGCTTGCTTGGCATGATGCCTGTGAGTGTCAAGCAAGCAAACCATAGCATTGCATAGGCTTTCAGATAAGTTTGGTGATCGTGAGAAAGAATTCTTTCCGTGCATGTTTTACATTCAGGGAGTCTTATAAAACCAAAATCAGACTGCAACTGCCGTAATACTGACCTTTGAGGATGTTAAACTGGAACAGCCGCAGCAAAGCGGCTGGTGGCCCTCTACTTCGGCTTCTAGTCCTTTCAGCAATATGTAATGTAAATCATGACGAAAGGAGAAGTATGACTTATTGAACATAAGGCAATGGAGGAAAAGAAAGACTGAGTAAAAGAGAGAGGGCGGACAAAGGGGGGAGGAGGTGGGAGGGGAGAAAGGCAAGTCGGGAGCCACACCTGAGCTGCTCATGCATTGAAAGTCTTATTCTTATATCACTCTTTGGAGTTTTGTGGAGGGAAGGCCTCCTCAAGAAGAAGGATACGCGCCAAAAGAATGAAGGGAAAGAACAAGGACGACGGGTAAAGAGGGGAAAAGCAACTATAAGACGAAAAAGAAAAAATGATAACAAGGACGTATCCTACCATACCTGTTGTTCGAGGACGAGCTAATACGTCGCATTACTTTCGAGTATGATGCATCTTAACGGCTTTAATTCCTGTTTTCTGCTCCGTTCACATTCTCTACGTACTATTGACCCTGACCCTAAAATATTCATCATCTGCATTCACTCTACACTCACATTCATGTTACCGTGGCCCTTCTACCACGCACACTTATAGTCAAACTCATACTCTCCC